TTGAAGGTAGGCAATAACCAGCTTTGAAAATCAGCATTCAAAAGTTACGCTTTTCTACTTTTTGAGTGGGAATTGGGGGTCTTCCATAGCCCAGACATAGCTACAACTATGACAAAGGGAATAAATTGAAAATCTTACAATTTTGATTATTGCCACAACAAAAATAAATAAAAAAATAAACCATAAAATTTGAAACAAAACTATTCCTATACAAGCATTATAAATGATAACAGCAAAGGAGGAGGAGAATGAAAAGTAAGATGAGGAGAGTGAGAGGAATGAAAAGTAAGATGAGGAGAGTGAGAGGAAGTAAGAGGAGAATGAGAAGGAGTAGGAAGAGGAGGAGAATGAGAAGTACGAGGAGAAGAAGTATGAGAAGTACGAGGAGAAGAAGTATGAGAAGTACGAGGAAAAGAAGTATGAGAAGTACGAGGAAAAGAAGTATGAGAAGTACGAGGAAAAGAAGTATGAGAAGTACGAGGAAAAGAAGTATGAGGAGAAGAAGTACAAGTATGAGGAGAAGAAGAAGTATGAGGAAGAGAATGAGAAGTATGAGAAGTAAAGCATACTACACTGACTGAATCTGTAAAATGCTTAAAAAAAAAAAAAAAAGAAAAAAAAAGGGCATAGTCAAATGTGACCAACCAGATACAGAAACGCTGGCTAGATAATATGCTTTATGGTCAATACACTGCCCGTACCAACCAAGCTGATGTAGGTAAACCCCTGTACACATCAGTGGCTACGTAGTGCAGGGTTAAAAGCTGTAACTGAAGGTTTTATTCTTGCTGCACAGGACCAATGCTTGCTAACTAAGAAATTACCAAGTGCACATAGTGAAAAATTGTGTTGAGTCCAAAATGCAGCTTCTGTGATAAATTATCCAGAAACAATCGACCATCTTGTATCAGGTTGCACAGTATTGGCTTTGACTGAATATAAAACAGGGAATGACAGGTTGGGCCAATATCTGCACTGAAAAATATGCAACTTCTACGGGAAGGAAACTGAAAGAAATTGGTATGAACACCACCCAGACCCAGTTACAGAAAAAGGACGCAACAATCTCATGGGACTTTACTATACACACAGGCAGAACAATCAAAGTTAATTGCCCTGACATCATAATTAGAGACGGCAAAGACAAAATGGACCTTCTTATTGACATGGCAGTCCCTACATACAGTAATGTATCTTTGAAGATCTTCAAAAAGCTATCAAAATACAAGGATCCTGAAATCAAAATCTCAAAAATATGGCACATGGGAGCATTAACAATTACAGTTGTATTTGGAGCCCTTGGAGTGATTGGAAAAGATTCCAATAAACTCATTGAAGAAATCCCTGGTAACTCATGCCTTAAAGAAATACAAAAAAATTGTGCTCAAAAGTACAGCCCACACCTTATGAAGGGCTTTATCTATGTAAAATATGTGCATTTTTTTTTCCCCCAAAAACTGCTCAATGGAAAATGTCATGTTGTCATTTCTGACCTTAGGTCTGTGGTCAGGACCTGGAAAGAAATGAGTATAAACCAAAAATCAAAAGAAATAAAAGAATAATAACAATTTTATGGTACTTTAAATTACACACAGAACAATCAAAGCTACCCCCCCCGATATCATGATTAGAGACTGCAAAGACAAAATGTGCCTCCTTATTGACATGGCAGTCCCGGCAGATTACAATGTATTTTTGAAGGCCTTCAAAAATATATCAAAATACAGGGTGACCCCAAAAAACGGGAATTTTTGAAGTGCGTATTGCCAGACATGAGCAAGTGGCAACACTGCAAGACAGTGACCTTGAGCAAGTAAACATTTCACCATTTAGAATTCAAGATGAAATTCACAGTATCCCAGCTGAGATGTTGCAGCAGTCAATGAGGAATCTCAACAGCAGGTTTCAAGAATGCATTTGTACAGGAAGACACCATCTACAGGACGTAATTTTTACAAAATGAAAATTCCATCATTGTTTCTTAAATGATTGGATTGTTAAAAAGTTCCCTTTTTTTTTGGGTCACCCTATACAAGGACCTTCAAATTGGATTGGTTGGAAAAGATTCCAATCGACTCTTTGAAGGGATTCCTGGTAGTCCATGTCTTAGAGAAAAACAAAAAATTGTTCTCATGAGTACAGCCCACAACTTACAAAGGGCTTTAGCTATTGAAAATATGTGCAATCTTTTTTTTCAAAACTGCTCAATGGAAAATGTCATGATGCCATTTCTGACCTTAGGTCTCTGGTCAGGACCCGGAAAGAAATGAGTATACACCAGAAATCAAAAGAAATAATACTTAGCCTTTTGTTTGGGTCACAAGAGTACCAAAAAATTGAAAGAGAGGTCATAAATAATAAAATGTTACTAAGAATAATAAAAAAGTAGAAAGGTATGAATAATTACCAGAAAGACATGTGAAAACTTCACGGTTTTCCTATTTGAATTTCCTGATAAATCTTAATTCTCAAGTTAATGATTGAATAAGTTTAAACTATCTGTAGAACCCCACCCCCTATCACATCGTTAAATAATAGTTAATAAAATATTGTAATAACAATCGTAAACATGGATGCTGGTTGTTATTTTAAGAAGTAAGAGGGTACAAATGAAGATTTGAAATTGACAACTTTTCCCATTTGACTGACTTTCATTTTTCTCACTGAAACCAAGTAATGTCTTTGATATGTCTTGCCTTCTCATGTGACCAAAATGAAAATGGAATAGTCCATTATTTATGAGGTATTGGTTTGTTGTAACAGCAATCAAAACAGAATAGTCCATAATTTATGAAGTACTGTCAGGAGACGTTAAACACTTCTATTTTCCCTCCTTTGTTTCATTTTCTCACTGATAACAAATAGTGTCCCCCCACCATTCCATGCAATCAAAATGGAATAGTCCATTATTCATGAGGTATTAGCAGGTTGTGACAGCCATGTGAACTAACTAAGGGAGGGGCAAGCTCAATAAAGTTATTATTATTATTAATAATAATAATAATAAGGATGATGATGATGATGATAATAACAACACCCCTCCCAAACCCCCAAGTGGGGTTCTCATAAATTATTCGAGGTGTTAACACACACATTTTGAATTGGTGAATTAAGGTGGGCTACAGCAATTATATAGGATGTGCAGATGGTGCAACAATAGCTACGTGGGGTGAGGCATCAGAGCTGAGTTCAATTTACATGCAAATACTCTTGAGAAGGGTATGGATCCACCTCCTTTCCCTCCAGCGAGGAGTTAAGTAGCAGAGTGGGGCTTTCATCTAGCGGCAGTTGGCAACCAATCAAGGAGGAGGAGGACAATTTTTAATTCAAAACCGTAAAAATCACCTACGGTCCCTAACCCTCAGTAACAAGGACAGGAAGAAGTGAATCAAGCAACAGTAAACATCCTGTTAAATATTACATATTAGCATGCCCCCTAAGGGCTAATATACAGTGTTGATGAGTAGGAGTGTAAAGTTGGGTGTGTAGGGGGATATGGCACCATGGTCGGGTTTTTAATTTTTTTTTTTTTTTTTTTTTAAAGTTTGCAGAATGAGGCAGCGAAAGTGACTTGGGAGTCACACATCTCAATACTTGGGGATAATCTCAGTCAAAGACCATCTAAGCGAACTGGGTTACCTGTCCTGAAGGTATTTCTAACCAGACCCCTGCAAGGTTATGCACTGCTTTTATCATGAGCTAACACCATGTCCTGCATATTTGGCTGTGCTGCATGTCCCCAGTATAGCCTTATTAGACTGGATGTCATGATGTATGTGTTGGGCATTCTGATCGCAAGACCCAGGTTCGAATCTCACCATGGTCGATTTGTCAGGAAGGAAACTTCATGATATTGGACTGGAGGGGTTGTTCCCAGCATGCAACACCTTTGGAAAGTGCCTGAAAACCATACCACAGGTTGACCCAAGCTTAGTGAGCTAAATTGGATAGACAGAACCCTTGGGGGGGTCATTGATAGCTGTAATATCACAAAGTCACAAGTCATCGTGGCCGAGGGCTTGCGCGTGCTGGCCTTGTTCAAATTGTTGATCATACTTGATAACAAGCTCTTTCCCAGAAACTGTAACTAAGGTCTGCTCAGCATAGTTGCAGTATAAACCAAGGTGGGCTCTGTGGGTGTTGAGCAAACACAAATGTGCCTGAGCGAGTGTCTGCAATAGGGATTAGCTAGCCGCCCTAGGTGGCAGGTATCCTCAAATACAAGTGGCCAGCTATACATGACATGTATATTGGGCCTTGCATATTTGTACCTCAGTCTCACTTTGTTGTTATGTTACTCACAACTTACATTTTCAGGTTTCCCAGGTGGCAATAATTAAAAATGCAAGGAGCCTCTTTGAATAATTGACCAATTTGTTTTCTACAGATTATCATCACTTGGCAGGTTATTTAAAACCAGAAAATATTTTTTAGATTCTAAGAATTTTTTTTAAGATAATGGTTTAGTGATACAAACCTTACTAATTAACCCATAGCTGGGGGAGAGAGAGAGAGAGAGGTCGATTCATACCTAATCAGAATTTGATAAAGAAGAAATTACAATGTGGATGTGAAGCAGGAGATCAATTCTATATTACACTCAATATATAAACTGATCCCTCACTTCGTGGCCACCATAGTTTCTATACATTTATATTCCAGAGAATGGAAATAAATCTAAGACATACCTGTGTAGCTAATCAGTATTTCATTGACTGGTTCATTTTCTATTGCTTATCAACCTTTATTTAAAGCCAGAAAATATTTTTAGATTGTAAGAACTTTTTGGGACTGGGGGAGGGGGAAGAGAGATAATGATTTAGTGATACAAGTTTTACTAATAAACCCATAGCTTGGGGGGGGGAGAGAAGACTTATATTCATACCTTTCCAAAGGATATTTGTGCGTAAGTGAATATTACGAATGCAACTAGAATTAGAACTTAGCTCTCTGATTAACAATTCAGAGCCAGTATCCATCACACCACCCACACATCCAAGCTTACAGCACCTGGTATTGCTAAGCCATAATCCATCCAGGTACTGACCAAGCTCAACGTAGCTTAACTTCGGTGATCATATGGGAACTAGTGTTTCAATGTGATATGGCCATAAACTCGGTTAAAATTCCAAGATACCCCCCCAGAGAAGGGCAACTTTAGATCTGTTGCTTTTGTCACTTTGATGGAGTGCCCTACTTTCATAGCCTTATAAATGTCTACACAAGGAGACTGTCATAAAGCAACAGATAATGCTCATCTCACAGACCATTGCTAATGTAGTGAATTCAATCCTCACAGGGTTCCCCCCCACAACCCTATTGTAGAATAACAATAACGAATTGGATAACCGCATCCCAAAATCGCGAGATAAGTCTGTCCCGGCGGAACGCTCGTCTCATAGAGCGATACAACAGAACAGCACACACTTTAAACCCCCTTCAAAAAGGACAAATAGTGGCACTACAATGACCAACAACCCGCCGATGGAACACAACAGGTCAGGTCATTGAAACCCTCCCCAACCACCAATACCGTATCAGAGTTGACGGATCAGGTAGAATTACCTTACGAAATCGCAGATTCCTCAGGAAACTGGATACACCTACAATTCCAGTTCCAAGACCTAGTGCCTTACCTGAGACCCCTACACCAGTGCCACAAACATTCGATGCTGGAATAACATCAAACACTGCTCAGTCGTCTACAATAACACGGACAAAAACCCCTCGGGCATTGTCCAGACTACTTCCGCACAACCAGCCAGGTTTAAAGGAACTCATCCTTCTCTACACGCGATGGGGGGGAGGGGGAAGGAGATGTAGAATAACAATACAATAAACAACACTTACCGACGTAAAGGTCCCAGCTAGCATCCAGCTGGCAGACAAAAATAAAGCATGTTGTAACTCAATACAAACCCTGCAAACTAACTGATGAATCAAGATGGTATTTATACAGAAATACCTCCACTCATGTACCAGCAGCCAATCACAGCCCAAGCAATGGACTATCCCACTTTAGCACAATGAGATGCTCCATGGCACCATAAATAGCTCTCTTTCTCAAGGTGGAGTTATTATTCACTCAGCTTGCTCCACAACTGAGTGTTTATCTCGACCACGTGATTTTTCTACACCTATTAGGATCTTGTTCTAAGTAATGTAAATACTTTTGGGTATCAAAGTAAAATAGTTTCTTTCAAACTGCTTATTTGTTAGAGCAGGTTTAATGTTTTTCAAATTCTTTTTTTTTTTTTTGGCAGCATGATTATTTTGCTGAAGAAAACAAAAAATTAACATTTATTCAAAAAGTTTTAAAACACCCTGAATGATTATTCCAGACAGCACAAAAGAGTTTCAACAAATGTTTTGGACATCATTTGCTGGTTTTATTCCATCTTATCGCCACACTTGCAGCAGAAAAGCCCTTAGCAGTTTCTATTGGGAATATAAAACCAATGGGTTTGTGCAGATTAAAGGTTTTGTGGTCCACCAGGAACCTCTTCTTGCCAATGTCAAATGGAGAAAATGGTGTGATTTGAACACATTGCATGGCACAACAGCTTGTGCAAAACCATCATGCAAGGCGCCATTGAAGGTGGATGTAGGAGAGGACACCAACGCAAAAACTGATTGGACAATATCAAACAATGGACAGTTATGACTGTACCAGAATTGCTGATGGCTGCCGTGAATAGACCGTTGCGGAAAAGAGTTAGCATGGCTTTTGCATTCGGATCCGCCCTACAATTGCAAAAGGGGATGATGATCTCTATTTATCTATCTACCTATCCGTGTCTGTTCAGTATCTATCTATTTATCCATCTATCATTACAAGGCATGACAGCTTGTGCAAGACCATCATGCAAGGCACAGCTGAAGGGGAACGCAGAAGAGGACGCTAATACAAAAACTGGTTGGACAATGTCAAACAATGGACAGATAGGACTATACCAAAATTACTCAATTTACTATTACAATCAATATATAAAGTGAACCCTCACTTTGTGGCCACTGTAGTTTCTATACATTTATATTCCAGAGAATGTAAACAGATCTAAAAGATATACCTGTGTAGCTATTCAGTATTTCATTGATTGACTGATTCATTTTCTACAGCTTATCAACCCTTTGCAGGTTATTTAAAGCCAGAAAATATTTTTAGATTGTAAGAACTTTTTTTTTTTTGAGATAATGATTTAATAATACAAGTTTACTAATTAATCCATAGGTGGTGGCGAGAAGAGGTGGGTTCATACCTAATCAAAATTTGATTCTCTGGAATATAAATTTATAGAAACTACCATAGCCAAAAAGTGAGGGATCAGTTTATATATTGATTGTAATATAGAATTGATCCCCTAATTTATATCCACACTTCTTTGTCTATCAAATTCTGAGATAGGTATGAATCCACCTCTTCCTCCTGCTATGGGCTAATTAGTAAAAATTTGTATCACAAAATCATTCTCTAAAAATGAAAGAAAGAAAAAATAAAATCGGTAAATATCTTCTGGCTTTAAATAACCTGCAATGGATTAATAAGTTATAGAAAATCAATCAATCCTCTCTCCACAATCACCAATGCCATGCAACAAGGCTTTATATGCTACTGAATGCCGATCTATATTAGATTCTGACCAAACATCAAAGATAACTTGTTGAACCAAAGTCATACAAAGATCTATGTAATGGATTATGCTAATATTGCTTCTTTTTTTTTTTTTGAAATTGCATGCCAGTTCAAGAACATTTTTCTATCCATAATTACCAAGGCCATGCAACAGGAGAGCTTAGCTATTAAACATTGCATGTGTTTAGATTTCACTGGTGCCTTTTTTCTACAATGACCAACATTTTCCATGCCAGTGAAGTTATGATTGAAGATTTTGACATGAAAGAATTTCAAATTGGCTGAGAAATTCCTACATCCTGGACTCTCTGTTCTTCAGTATGAAGCAAATATTTTTTACAGAGGTCAAAAGTCAGAAGCAAAATTGTTTTAAGATACCAAGCCCTGAAAACTCTAGACAAGTTGAACAGAGTATATTACACGTGTTATTTTTTTTCAAAATAAAGATCAATGGTTAAAAGCAGCATGTGGTTTATAGTGACAATCTCCAATCTGTTTGCATACTTACATATTATATTGCTCTGTTAGTAATGTTTTAATCAATTTCTAACCACACGTTTTATTGTCCTCATTTGCAATGTATTTTGATATTAAAATAAATTGCAATGCATTTTTATAGTAAATCCATTAGCAATATATTTCCATCTTCTAAATAAATAAACAGCAAATTTAGTCTCTCTGAAACCCCCTCTAACTCGGGCCACACCTTGCTCTATATATTATACCATTTTGGAATCAGGACGATTTAAAACTTGCCCTTCATCTCCAGCTTGAACATCCATCATTGAGATTTGTGCTCGGATGAGGAGGGAAAAGTTAAAAATTCAAATTTTAAAAAAAAAAAAAAAAAAAAAAAAAAATGTAATGATTTTAAAAGTTTTTAATTTATATTGAGTTGAAAGTAACACAAAAACTTTGTGAATTTAAAAAAATTTTGTTTTAAATTCAGTTTAAAATATCTCCAAAACTTTGAATTGAGGAAATCAATTTTATTTCTTCAAAATGCCAAGGAGTCAGAGTTAAAGTGAGAGGTTTCGTGACGTGAGGTTGTGAACTTCCACTGAGTGTGTGATTTGAAGAACTCAATTTTGGGCCTCAATTGGAATGTCAACCCAAATTGGTCTTTTGGACAGAATTGGACTTGTAGCCCAAATCAGAGTTAAAATGAAGTTTTGAAGTTCCATAAAGTGAATTGAGGAATTCAAAGTTATTTCTTCAAAATTATCATTGCTGTTTTCTAAACTGAACCAAAGGTCCATTTAGTTTTGGGCTGGAGGCCCAATTAGCCTCCCACAGGAGGCTAGCTTAAAAGTCTGCATGGACTGTGGCTTTTAAGCTAGCTATACATATAATAGCCCTATTCTATCAGTAATGCTTGCATTCATTCCTGACCACTGACAATCCCTTTCTTCCTCATTTTCAATGCATTTTTATAGTAAAATCATTAGCAATGCATTTACATATAATAGCCCTATTTTATCAGAAATGCTTGTATTAATTCATGACCACTGACAATCCCTTTCTTCCTGATTTTCAATAAATGTAGAAATTGTCAAAACTTGCTTAAAAAGAAACTAAACAAAACTTGGATATTCTAAACATTAAATTCCACCTTTAATTGCTCACCACGATTTCCTTTTGTTTATCGTTCAGGGAATGACCTTCATAAGAGTAGGTCATTATAATTTTTTTGAAAGTGACAAATCTCTTTGTACAAATGTTCAAGTTAATCAGCTAAATTATAATTACTCATCAGACAATTATGGTTAATGAGATCGGCCGACTCATATTCACCCATTTCTAAGCATAGAAGTATATAGGACATGATTGTTTACATCTTCTGTTACAATTCCTACGTTTTTTTTTCCCTCTCTCTCCCTGGAATTTAAAATAACATCAATTTTGAGAGCATACTATTCCTGAAATATCAGCCATGGTCTGAATCAGTAAAAACAAAATATTTCATATTTCATTCACTCGTGAGACGTGTGTCGGCACATGGGTGATGGAGAATGAGTGAAGGGCAAATGCTAGTGTTAGAGGTAATAATAATAAAAAAAAATAACATAGTATTTTAGTGTCTATTGCCATTTAAATTTAGTAGACATAAGTTTTTAACATTACTTTGTGAACCACAGAGTTTACTCTCACAGTTTTATATTATTTTTTTTTTGCAGAAAATAATTATTTTACTTGCTTTTTCATCTTGTAGCATTATTCATAATGCTATTTGGAATTTTGATAAGATCAAGCATTGTCAAGCATTCTACATTTTTCACTAGGATTTCTTTCATCTTCATTTCAATTGCTTTATTTCCACTAGTAGTATTAGTAGTAGTAATATTATCTGCAATTTTCATTAGATCAAGCTATTGTCAAGCATTCTTCATTTTCACTAGGTTTCTTTCATCTTCATTTCAATTGCTTTATTTCCACTTGTAGTATTAGTAGTAGTAATATTATCTGAATTTTGATTAGAT